CCCGGCTATTTTTTGGTTGCAGCCGTCATTGTTGATTGGCAGGTCCGGGCTGGGGATTCGAACCCGCCACCTTAGGTGTACGTGGCTGGCGCCTTAGCCGGTTGAGCTATAGGCGCTGAGCCAGAAGGCACTTATTAAAAAGTTTTGGGGTAGGACATTTTCTTTCAAAAGAAAAAATGAAAAAGAGATGCAAAGTCTCTAAAAAGAACTTGGTGCCTCCAAAAGGAGGAAGGGCACATATAGTGATATATAGTGAACGCAAGTACCAATAGTAAGTTGGAGTTAGATGGGTCTGTTGGGACTAGATCCTATAAGGCCATGAAGATCATGATTTTTAGAATATGTTGATTCCAAGTGCAGTGAAAATCATTGCAGCATTTTACACAGAAGAGCAGCATGATCTGATTCACACTTTACAATGACAAATCTAGCCACTCAGTGGCAAAGGAATTGTAGAGATATAGGACTGGAAGTAGGAAAATCATATACAAGGCTACCACAGGGGTCCAGGTTGATGTAGATATGGCCTGAATTATGTTCTGGGCACTGTGCTGGGCATTTGTGGTGAAAATAGTTGGAGAGTGTATATAGAACTATTATATTGAGTTCTATGGAAACTTCTAGCAACTAATCACATCCTGAATTCCTTTTGTCACAACGTGATTTAGACCATCCCTCAGCAAACGACTTTTTAACATCCCCTCACCCTAAGATACAACAGCAGACGAAAATCAAATCTAATTATTTTAAACATTATTTGAAGATGAAACAGAGGAAAGGGAAGAGGAGGCTCAGACTAGATTCTATGATGGGTCACGTGATAGCAGCTGACAACAAAAAATAATTAGGAAGAAACAGGAAAGAGTACGAAGAAATAGCACAGATTTATTCCAGTGTCGTGTCAGATGGAATTAGAACAGAAATATCTGGCTTATTCACAGAACTATAGTGTATCATGTGAGGACTTTGCAAAATGAATGACTAAGCAGTGTTTTCAGTTAATGCTATTGAATTATTAAAATGGATAAGGGAGTTTACAGATGCTGGAAAGCTCAGTTTATCCACTAAGTATTTCTTGAAGACTTCCTGTGTGTTGCCTGGACCAGGGGATACAGAGGAAATTCTAGTTCTTGACTTCTTTAAAGCCACAATTTAGTAAAGCCTTTGATTTTTAAGTCTTTTTAATCTGTGGGTTTTTTTGTTTGTTTGTTTGTTTGTTTTGAGATAGCATCTCAAGCTGTTGCCCTGGGTAGAGTGCCATGGTGTCATAGCTCACAAACTCTTGGGCCTAAGTGATTCTCTTGCCTCAGCCTCCCAAGTAGCTGGGATCACAGGTGCCCACCACAATGCCTGGCTATTTTTTTGTTACAGTTATCATTGTTGCTTTAGGTGGCCCAGGCCAGGTTCAAACCTGCCAGCCTTGCTGTATGTGGCGGGTGCCCTACCCACTGAGCTACGGGAGCCACCCTGTTTTTTTCATATACAAAAAATCACAGTTATTTTTTGAATTTTCCCTTTTTATCTTTTATTATCTTTTCTAGATTGCAAGCTTTCAGAAAAAGGAGTCTTTGGCAACTGTAGAAATCTTTTCTTTATTACACCCGTATTACCATAAATATCTTTAATATTTACTGAAATTGTTATTAGCCCCAAATTCCTTTTCTTGCAAGTAAATTACTCCCAAGGTTATTTTAATGTTCCAGTCCTGAGAAATGAAATTAACCCACCTCTTGGCTTTTCTTTGTCCAAAATAGCCAGTTACCATTAACCTAGGTCTTGATTGTGTGACTGAAAGGTGGAGAACTTTCTTTATAAAAAGAATGATGTCTGCCAAGTAGGTGTCATTTAAAAATATCAAAATACCTTTTCTTGCACAGTGTCCATCCCATTGTGCTTATGATATCCTTGTTAGAAATGGCAATTTGATCTCTTTGACATTATTGTTTCCTCAACGTTTTTAGACTTCCACAAAAATTATCTTTCCAAATTGCCTTTCCAAAAGCCACATCCTGAGGCCCACATTGTCATTAATAACAGTGATAATAATTGAGATATAAAATGTGTAATACTATGTATGTGAAGGTATTTGTATATATTATTTTACGTAAGTATAGTATATATTTTGTATGCTGCATTTTATAAAACTTATATTGTTTGCTTCCTTCAAAAAAAAGTCCCCACTGGAATGTAAGCTCTAGGAAGTGGGGTGTTATAACTGCCTGCTTTCATATTATACTGCAGTAGTTTGCCTGGCGCTCGATCCATACGTAATGCTTAATAAATATTTAACTGACTTTCTAAATGTGTGGCACTCAGAGATTAAGTGGCTTGCCCAAGGTCATACAACTAGCATAGATCTGTATTCCTCAAAAAACCATTTTAAGTGAGCTTTATATATAGTTTCAAGGGAAAGTTCACAGCCCTGCTGGGATTGGATATTAGCAATTCCTTATGTCATTTAGATTTATCTAATGATGGCGGTGCTAAAGATCTGCTATACTTTCTATTATCTTGTTTGGGTGAAGTTTTTATTCTCAGATAAATATTAATCGAATCAGACTCCTATTAAACCCAAATGACACGCTGTGAAGTTTTTTCTTCATTTCGTAGCAATATTTTACCATCATGTTCCAATTTAGTTCTAACAGAAGTAACTGAACGATGAATGTGAAGTCCTCCTTTCTTGAATAACCCATATAAAGTTATTAAGTTTTTCCGCCTGCTGTCTATCCTACCCTAAGTGAGTTTAGAAGTTACACATTTTCTCTTCTAGAGAAATTACTCATACTGCCATAGTTGTTGCAATAATAACCTTTGGGTGATTTTATGTGTTTTGTTGAAGTGCGTTTCAGCTTCTCTTCTGAGCATTTAAGGTGCTTCGTTTTCTTATTCTCTCTTCCAAACATGGATACTCAATTACATCTTCTGGTCTCACCAGCAGAAAATTCTACTGATACTTTATAATGCGAGGAGACTGGAGGGCTGGCTCTACCCTTAGCAAATGTGGGCTGCTCCACCTTTGAGCAGGAATGACCCCCTCAAGGTCTGCCTTCTTGCATCTCTGCGTCCAAGGAGCCTACTGTCTCCGAGAGGAGACCGAGGCAGTTCCTACACCTCTGCGTGGCTCTTTCCTACACCTTCCTGTGGTGTAGATTTTTATGATAAAACCTGAAATTTTTTTTTTTAATTTAAATCGATTTAGGGGATGCATATTGTGTTACATGGCTAACTTGTTTAGTGGTAAAGTCTGTCTTCCCCATCACATGGGAAGAGTATACAACCAACAGGTAATTTTCCATCCTGTACCCCTCTCGCACCCCTCCTGATTCCGAATCTCCAGTGTCATTAAGTTGCTCTGAATGACCATGCACACTCATTACTGAGCTCCTTTGTCAGTGAGAGCATGCAGCACCTGGTTCTTTGTTTCTGGCTTACTTAGAATGATGGCCTCTCATTCTATCCAAGTTGCTGTGAAAGACACTATTTCATTGTTGACGATGGCTGAGTAGTACTCCGTGGCATGGATGAGCCACATTTGAGAGCCCCAAGCAAGTTCTGAGTGGACAGATTAGTATGCAGGAGAAGGGGTCTGCTCCCTTGCTTTTTCCCCCCCTTGCTCTCTCTGTGAGAACACACTTTATTTTCAAGGGTTAGGGTCCTGTTTATCAGCTGAGAAGGACTGAAATGTTTTGGAGTGGAGCATCCAAATTTATTAAGTTTTTCTCATGTTATCTATCCTACCCTAAGTGGGTAATGATTCTCTTCTCATATCGAACAGCCCTTTATTCTGCCCTAGCAAAGACCTTCTTCCATGAAAGGCTCAGGAAGAATAAAAAATGAGTGCCTCGTTTAAACCCTACAATTATTTTTATAATAGGTAGAATGGTGTTGGTGCAATCCAATACGTCCCCCTCTAAACATACCAGTTATTTTTTCATTAAATTATTTTCTCATTCAGAATTCATCTTCAATAGACACCCCAGAATTCCCTTTTTTCTTTGAAAGTTTTCCCTTTTTACCAATTCCTTGGTCTTTTGGTCCTCTCTTGCCATGTTGGGATTCATCATACCATACCGAAGAGGTACTACCCGGACTTTGAAGCCCCATGTGTTTTGGAAAAACTGCTTAAGCTCTTGATATTCTTTAGGATAAAGCATTGCAAAGAAACAAACTTCTCTTTGGATGATAAAGAATTCTTTTTATAAAACAATTTCAATGAAGGATCTAGAAGGTAAGACCATGAAAATACACATGCCACCTGAGTAGGACCGTGTTACCTCATGGTAGAGTTCCTTGGCCTTAGTAAGAGCTCAAGAAATATTGTGTGTTTTTCTATGCCCTATTTTTACCAATATTTAACGAGGGTTGAGAATGTAGGGAGAAGTGAGACAAAAGAGTCTGGGAGAGAGAAAGAAATTCTCCTGGGGCAAACAAAAAAGAGAGGAGCTGAATTTTTGTTGTTCTTTCAGTGTTATCAAACCGCTACTTTGGTTACGGACCTCTTTTAGTATTTTTTAAAATGGAGAATAAGGAATTACACCTGTCACTGTGACATTTGGAAAGCCTTTAAGTTTTGAGTGAAGGAACTTAAGCCTTGTCTTCTCTCTGTTTTGTTTAGATAAATTCAATACTACAGTATTAAAAGAACCAAAGGGACTACCCGTGGGTAATGTGAACATCTTTTTCTTTTTGAACACTTCACAACTTTGCGTGTCACCCTGTGCAGGGGCCCTGCTAATCTTCTCATCGTTCCAATTTTAGTATATGTGCTGCTGAAGTGAGCACTAATGTGAAAACCTTAATCACAACCCTCGGTTACTTTTCCATTGAGAGAACATTCAATACATTCTCTTCTCTCTCACCGTGATGTTTATGCAATTTTTTCCCTTGGGTTTCTTGAAATCATAGATTTCCATCACTTTGGGGATTATAAGATTTAGGTTTTTCAATACAAATTTGTAGTTTCCTTGCCTGGGAACTTCTAAACTGTTCTCAGCATGTGTAGAGAGAAGCAGAAGTTTGGGCTTTGTTCCATAAGCTAAAATCAACTAATTCATCTAACTTCCCATCTATGTCTTCAGAGAGCTTTGGCCAATTTTCCTAAGACATTTCCTTATTTATTACTTTGTGTTGAGGCTATTAAATAATCAGGCTATAGCTAAAATTTTTTTTTCAAAAACTAATGTCTTATCCCATTCCATTCTTACCTCCTCTGAATGCTGTCTAACCTATCCTGTGACTTTTGCTGTATTTTGGGCTTGAACTTGAGATAATTTCCATCTACATCTTCTTTTCTATGTTCCCAGATATTTAAGTACAGGGAATAATTACTTTATATTTTAAAAATTTCTCCAATATGTTGATATAATTGAGGGCCCATTAAATGCCTGTTCAGAGCTTAATTTAGGTAGCTCAGCACATCAAGCGAAGCAGGGTAAGGTGTTAGAGAATGTGGGGGAAGGAGTCTGAGACTTAGTTCTGAAGCTCTCCGTTTACCACTGTTAGAGATTTCATCTTATCAGTCCAGGACTCTGACTAAAAAAGAGACCCTTCTATACACTCAGAACCCCTCCTTGTCCAAAGTCTACTGGGGGTTGTAAAATATTTCTTAGCCTGTGCCTTTGTGAAGGGCATAAAACCTTTGTGTGTGTGTGTTATGAGAAGGCAGTGAGCAGCAGCTGTGTCCAGGGTGCAGCACTCCGCATGAGGGCTGGGAGATAGTAAATTTCAGGAATTATTTCTTGAATAAATGAACCACTAAGAAGACTGGGGTAAGAAGGGGTCCTCAATGTGTAGGCCAACAGAAGGAACAGAAGGGGTTGTTTTATTTTGGTATGAAATTTCAATGATATATCTAAAAGAAATCAATACAGAGAGTTTTCACTTCTCTGTAAACATTTAAGTCTGGTTCTGTATTATTTTAAGAATGAGAAACACGTCTCCAGGTTTTTGGTGCTGCTGGTTCACTTGGCTGGCGTGTGTTTTCTACCATCGTAACCTCCCTTTCCTCCCTCCCATCACATAGGCCTTCTTTCAATTTGGTGATTTCCATTTATTTTCTATATTGCAGTCCAACCTGTGCCCTCAGGGAGACATTCCCTGATTTTAAAATGAAAGCTGAATCATTTTCTACATACTGTTAAAATATTCTGTTCGTCTCGTGTAATAAAATTCCTCACATTTCATTCACTCAGTATTTAGTAAGTGGCCATGTATAGCAAAGAATTGACTCAACATCCCAGTAAAAGAACTGGCCTTTGACTGGCTCAGGGGAAGGAACATTGAAATATCCTGCTTTATAAGGGTATATTTGCGTCTCTGGAGCCTTAGGCCACAGAGATACGTTTTGCTAAGAACGTGATTTATGATGGGGCCTTAGCGAGGTTTTGTCAGTTTGACTCTGGAAGGGACAGAAGATTGAGTAACTAAGGTCAGTCACATGAGTGTCCTAAGCGTATGGTTGACTGCCAATAAAAACTCCAAATAGGAGAGCTCAGGTGTTTCTCCCATTGGCAAACTTACGCGTGTTGTCACCCATCATTGTTGGAAGAATTAAGTGCTGTCTGGAAGCTCCACTGGGAAAGGACAACTGACAGCTTGTCCCTAATCTCTCCTAGTATTCTATAGGTGCCTTTTCTTTGCTGATTAATCTACCCATCTATCATCTGTCTGTCTATTTTTTTTTTTGCTGTAATAAACTATGATCATGAGTATCAGGGCTTCACTGAATATGTGAGTACCTTCTAGTGAATCACTGATCTGAGGGTGGTGTAGGGACTTCAGCCTAATTAATATCTTACATATCTAACATGCCAGGTGTCTAGTAGGGCAGGATATACAGAGATGATGGCGCAGACAGGAGCCCTACTAAACCTTGGAGGGTTTAGTAGCTGAGGAGAGGGAAGCCAAGTTATAAACAAGTAAATGGAAATATAAATATAAGTAAAAGGATGTCCTATTAGCAAAACAACCGTGTGTAGTGAGAGAATCTGTGTTTCTTGCTAGCTAGACCATATACTCTCTGAGGGGAACTATACACTTTTGATTCATCAGTTATCTTCACAGTGTACAGGTCCTTATCAGGGAATAGACACTCAGTAACAGTTGTTGACCTAAATAAAATCCAATACTTACTTTCCCACAGTTGTTTTTTTGTTCTTTACAAAATTTTCCTGAGCAAAGCCAATTGAATTTGGGATGGTAAGTGCTTAGGACAAAGCTGGAATACATATTAAAGGGGTTGTGTGTGTGTGTGTGTGTGTGTGTGTGTTTCCCCTTGTGGAAGTTTCAGCTAACTTTTCAGCATAAAAAGCTTCTCTGGTTTGAAAATTTTGCTCTTACTTCTGAGTAAGTATGTAATTTGATATTGAAAAAGCCATTTAGCTGATACAAGAATAAATAGAACATTAAGATAGATGCAAATATTTAATGGCATGAGTGGTAATAGTAAATGTGTAAAAGATTTATTGCCTTTTTAAAATAACATAAAGTAGCATCAGATTTGTTTTGAATTCTGAGAGCCAAAGTGCTCTCTATATTAAGTAATTTCTGTTTTTTACTCACTATTAATGGAATTAATTTTTGAAGTCATTCTCTTTTTATTTTATTAAATCATAGCTGTGTACATTAATGCAGTCATGGGGTACAGTGTGCTGGTTCTATATACAATCTGAAATATTTTCATCAAACTGGTTAACATAGCCTTCTTGGCATTTTCTTAGTTATTGTGTTAAGATATTTATATTCTACATTTAGAAAGATTCATATGTACCCTTGTAAGATGAACCATAGGTGTGATCCCACCAATCATCCTGTCATTCTCTTTTTAAAACAGACTAAAACAGGCCACTTTTTTTATTCCTCTAAGACGTTTTTCTGCACTGGGCTCTGGATACTCCATCTGTGTTAACTGTGCAGATTTCAGAGGCCAGTGAGTTTAAATATGGGTTACTTTTGTCTATTCTTTTTTTAAGAAAGTAGACGATACTGTGCTTTTGCAAATAGTTTCCTGTGATATTGAGCCAAATTAAAAGTTGCCAAATAAATTGTGCCATGTGGAAATTTAAATAATAATAGTAACATAATCTGTGATTTCCTGGTTAAAATACTACACTCGCACATTTTCTTTGGTCATGTGCATTGAAGATAAATCTGCTTAAATCTCTTCTTCTTTTTAGAGATGCTAATGCTAAATACAAAAATGCTTGATGGAGGTAGCAGTGATGGTCGTGTGTGTGTGTGTGTGTGTGAATGGCCTTACATAATGATTTCTTCCATTTGTGTGTCAAGGACAATAGGGATGGATTAATGGGAGATTCCTAGAATTGTTTTTATGAGATGTTTGCCTGTGATCATAGGTGGATATAATGGGAGTAATGACAATATTTTTAATGATTTCTTTGTTATTTAAGTTCTTAAGATGGAAATATTAATTATTATCATTGCATACCCTTCATATTTGAAGAGGGATAAAGACTTCAGTGTTATATAATAGGAAGAGTGTAAGTGTACTTGGACAGCCAAAAGTTTTAAATCCAGCTTATTGCTTACTAATTGTGTAAACTTAGGGAAACAGGAGGTCTTGCTTAACTTAGAGGTTAGTTAATATTTTAGTGTCTTTCAAAACACTTTCACATGCTGTTTTCTTTTCCTGTTTATCATTTTAATTATCTCCTATTCATGTTATCTTAGTCCATTTTATGTTGCTATAACAGAATACTTCAGACTGGGTAGTTGACAAAGAAGTTGATTTAGCTCACAGTTTTAGGGGTTGGGAAGTCCAAGACCATGTAATCAATATCTGGTAAAGGGCATCATGCTGTGTTGTAATGTGGTGGGGGGTCAACACATGGTCAAGGGGCACCAGTCCCATCATGAAGTCCCTACCATCATGACCTCATCTAATCTTAATTAGTTCCCAAAGGCCCCATCTCTAGTCAGCATATGAATTCAAGGATTAGCACTCCAACACGTAACTTTTGGGGGACACATTAAAACCATAGCATTCCACTTCTACCTACCCAAAATATGTGTGCTTTTAAAAATATAAAATGCATTCATTCTATCCCAATAGGCCCCCAAGTCTTAATTCATTATAGTATAAACTCAATGTGAAACACAAGGCCCAATTGACCCTGAGACAAATATTTTTTAGCTTTGGATCTTTGAAATCCAAATAAGGTATCTGTTTCCAAATTACAGTTATGAAACAAGAATAAGGTAGATCTTCTCATTCCAGAATGAAGAAATATGCAAGAAAAGTTGGATAACAGGCTCCAAGAAAGATAAAAAGCCAACAGAGAAGACTACATTTAATTGTAAAACTAGGGAATAGTTTCTCACTTCATGGGCCACCCCTTGGATACACTGGGGTTGGAGCTGGGTCTTCGGGATCTCAGGCAGCACACCCTCATGAATTTGTTGGTTGCAGCCTACCTGATTGCTGTCATGGGTTGCAACCAGGTGCCTGCAGCTTTTCCAGGCAGGGTCTGTACAGTGAAAGCTCTATAGTTCTGAGGTCCTGGTAGCAGTTTCATCCCTGTGGCTACAGCAGTGCCCTGGGGCAAACTGTCTGCAGCAGCTTTGACCCCACATTTCTACTCAGTAGTACCCTAGTTGACTTTCTTTGTGTTGGCTTCAGCCTTACAACAAGTCTGCCTGAACATCCAGGCTGTGCATAGTATTGGTTTTTTTTTTTTTTTTATTGAATGGTAACTATGTACATTAATGCACTTCTGGGGTACAGTGTGGGGTTTTCACATGCAATCCGAAATACTTCCATCAAA